TTTATTTTTTTTTCTGCTGGTATAATAAAATGTAGCGATTAAACGCCAATAATTTTTTTATTTACAATCATAGAAAGGCCTCCAAAAACTCACGGGATTTCATATCTCGATCGGACTAATAAATCTCAGAACACACAAAGTTTTAGCCAGTTAGCTTGTGATGTATTAATCTGTTAATCCAGAACTAGTTTATCAATGTTAGTTAGATCTTGCAATAAATCAAGCTGGCCATAGAAAAAAGGCGTAGTTGGCACAATGCCAAACACAAATAGAGGAGAATTTTTCCATTTTTTCCATTTAATTTAGCAGGAAAGTCATAAACTAAAATGGGATTTCCTTTTTTCCCGGTATTAGTTAACTGATATAGTCCATTTTATTATGGCTGGACTGGAAATTATAATGATTGTGAGTTATGCCTTTTTTTTGGTCTTTATTGAAGCAAAAATATACTATATACTCTGTTTATTTTTCTCTGGTAAGATTTTGACAGACTATGACAGAAAAAAAGTAGATGACGTCCATACCAATCCATTTATTTCACTAAAAAATGTTTCTAATATTTTTTAAGTTAACTATGGACGGGTTTATATTACAGATCCGTCATGGCGTCGTCTCTTGTTGTTTTTAACCAGTTTTATTAGTTTACTTCAAAAATGACAGATCATATTATTGGTTTGACGGAACGATGAAAGACAAACCGACGCCGCGCCGATGCGTATAAACCCGACTCAAGATTTTTGAGAGTTGTCAAACCTTTACCAAATTATGGGTTATAATTTTGTGTCAAATTATGTCAAATAGAAATGATAAACATTTTGCATTTTGAACTGTGTTATTACGTGTTTCGTGTTTTTTAAAATTAAGTGGAGGAAAACTTGAGGGTAAATTAAGCGTTCACCCACACCAGTCCAGAGAGTTGTATTAGCCACAAACAAAGTTTCTATACCATCTGGTATATGGTACTAAAAATGGAGTATCCGTAAAATAACATCACACAATATGTGAATAATACATACTGGTATAAATAAATTAAGATTAAAGTTAATTAAACTTTTAAGGTATACAATTCAGTAAGTGTTATTATTAATACAATAGTTTGTTTTATTTATTCCTTTGCAATATTAATTTATTTTTATTTGTACGTAAGTTACATTGATAAATGTAATAATAAATGCAGGAAGTTTTTTGAGCATGAAAGTAAGAAATAGTTCTTTTTTATATATTTTTGATATCTGGTGTTTTGTTTAAAATACACCTTGTTTGATTTGTATTAACACATACCGAATTATTTTAATAAAATAGCTCCATTTTTTCAGTGTTATACAATTTTTTTTTCACTTGTCACTCAAATTTTAAGTATATTAATTTTCTGCTATGCATTCCAATTGTACCAACTTATTTCTTTATAAAAAAATAAACTACTTTGAAATTAAAATGTCAGACTATAATCGAATATTTTAATTTAATTTTATTACAATCAATTATTGTTTGTTTTTGTAGAGCTTTAAAACAAAACATAATATAAAATATTTATGTAACTTTTTAAAAGATTCAAAACTAAAAGCATAATTTGCATTTAAACGTTTATATATACGATTCATATATTTTAAAACCAATATAAATTTATTATTTCGTTGTATTAAACATATAAAGAGAGATATATTCCTGTTTTATTTATGGAAGTTCTGTTTTACATATTTGTCGATGTGCAATTTAAATGCTCTCCAATCGCCCTCATTTAGAATAAAAGTTATTTAATAAATCATTCAAATGAATGTTTTCATTGTATCTATTGTACATCTATTGTACAATTGCTTAATAATACAAAATAAAACGGTATTTTGTTTAAATATTTATGTATTCTAAATGAAGAGTTGCATAGTCAAGTTATTGACAATTTATTATTTAATTAGAATATTAAAAAATTGATATAGTAGAAATCACGATAGAAATTGGTTGGTTTTGATAATTGACATATTTTTATTTTTATATCTATTCAATATTTATTATTTTAAAAAAATATTTTTTTTTCTTTTTACCACTACTTTAGTAAATACATTTTAGTAGTAAAATGACATTTTAAAATATAAATTCTATATGTGAGGGAGGCTACAACATAATTGGAAATGGTTGAATAAGCTGAAACGATGATGATGGTACAATAAAAAAAATTATTAATAATTTTGATTCCTTTGACAAATTGTGTTATACCATGACGGGAGAAGTTACATGAAACGAACTGTATAAACCTATATTGGGAACAACTAAGATTTTATTTACTAAGTATTTTATTTGATTAATTTTTTCACAATACGCTGTCCTTTACGGTTTTAAATTATTATAACGAAAGATCATCTTTTTTATATTAAAATCTGCCTGGAAGCAGATACATCACAGTGTCAGTTTCTGTCATTTGCATGTTGTCTGTCAAAATGCTTCCTGATTCGTTGACAGACTATAATTAAATATTATTTTAATATTTTCACACAACTTGATTGTATATGATTCTCGTTATATTTAAGGTTTAGTCTAATTTTTACTGGTTTTATGTAACATATTACCGTATTTTTTTAATTTAATTTTACTTTATTGCGATTTGGTGTAATTCTAACTAGCAAAAACATTTTTGAGTTTGACGTCAACTTGCAAATTAAATTAGATTTCGTGTTAATAAAGTGTATAATACTGCAGTACCCGTAATAAAAAATTAGCGATGGGAACTATCGATGAATTAGACTATCGAATGGTTACTGAATGAATGATTTCAACTATCGAATGGTTTTATTCGAATAAAATCATTCATTCATTTGTATACTAAAGCATATGTGACAACCTCGCCGTGAAACTAAATGGTTATCGTTGAGCCACGACTATCGAATGCTTTTGATAAATGAAATTTAGTATTCGTTTGATTTTTGTGTGCGTCAGTGCATTATTAGTTCTTCCAAATTTTTATAACTTCACCTTATAAATACTGTGCCAATTTTGGGTATATTAAAATATTTAAAATACTAAAATAGTAGTTTTTTTTAATTGACGATTGTGTGCGTGTGTCAGTGCAGGTGTCAACATTTTTCCGAAAATTTGTGTGATTTTCTTTCTTTTGTGAGTTTTTTTTAATGGGAAATTTTGAGAAGTAGCAATTTTTAAAAGAGATGAGATGAACTTTTAATATTGACTAATTGAATACTGAATTAATTTTTAAAATACATATTTGTATTTTAGATGTTTTAATAATATGAATTAGTTGAACCTAATAATCATATTTAAGTAATGTGGTTAAGTAAATGGTTATCGAACTCGAACTATGGGGTGAGAAAATTAAATTTTTGCTACTTCGTAAAATAATGTTTATATTAAATTATTTTAAATTTTGTTGTTAATAGGAATAACAAATTATTACTGTTATTATTATTTTTATTAAACCAGTCTTTGCTTAAAAACATTAAAAATCATTTTCTTACATCCAAAATAACAAGTATTATTGCAGTGTAACAACAGAATATTAATAAAAAAAATGCAAAATATATATAGACATACTATCCCTAACTAACTAAAGCCAAACAACAATATTCTTTGCTAATATCAACTAATACCAATATATGGCAACAGCGCCCTTCATAATATATTTTCTGTGTAAATACTAGCACCTCAATAAAAAAATAATGTGTCCTTATCTTTATATGACTCCGCAAAAAATCAAAGATGCCGGCTTCTTTCATAGCAATACCACCGACCGCTGTCGGGTTTCTCGGAAAGAAACCTACGTCGCCGGGCGACAACTAAAATCCAGTTAATATTTCACTATAATCGATCCTGACGAATAAATGAATTTCATAAATGAATGAATTTTATAAATGAATGGTTTTTGCCTCCGAATTACTAGAATCCTTCTAGAATACAATATTTCAAGGCAGACGACGCATCTATTCTATAATTTTTCGAATAGTTTTGAACGAATGTTTTTTTTACTAGCTATCGAATTATTCGAATGAATTGCAACTATCGAATGTTTCGATAGTTCCCACTACTAATAAAAATAAAGATGTATTTATATTTGAATATTTTATTGTAAAGTAAAAAATCCAATCGCAAATATTTTTATTAGGCTATTATACTATTTTAAGAATTCTATTATAAAAATAGTAAATTATAATAAAGGACATATTTTTTCTGTTTCAGATTCCTGAAGTTGAAAAAAATCAATTAAAGGAGACCAAGAAATTTGGGAAAAATCAGGTAAAGAATATTTTGTTAGGGTTAGTTTGCAACTTTTTAGACGAATTTTATTCTAGCAATACTTTTTTATAGAATAAAAAACATCTTGTACAAAATTACGAAAAATTACTTTTCTACTTGCCATGGAACAACAGCACGACAGAGTTTCCAGACGACATTCGCCCGTCGATCGTCTCGCATCGCCTAACGTCGCTTAACTTCGGTGATCTATCGGTAACCGGTGTTTCAACGTAGCTGGTCCGTTCTTCACAATTTTTTTAATAATTTGCTAAGATGCTAAGAGTCCTATCAATACTTAATAAAATATTTTGATATTTTTTTTATATATTTAGAATATCTTGAATACAATGTATTACTAGTTTCTTGTATTGGATAAAAACTATGTATAATCTAGATTGGAACAAGATAGGTTTATCTTCTCGAGGCACATCTCTCAGAACTGTGCTATTGTCACGAAGATTACAGACCGGACAGCTGAGCACGGGGATTACCATAATGAAAGCCGCCTAGGGTCTTGTTCCGGTGCCTGCTTTAGATTGTGACGGAAGCAGAACATGGACAGGCCTAGCTTGGACATGTCGAGTATAAATCATACAGGTTTTGAGGGATTTATACAAGTGGAAGGGACGTTTAACAAGTTTGTGTTAAACGCACAATAACGTAAATAAGGCGACTTTTTTTTTTATTATAACCACTGGTGGCGCGCGGTTTATTTTGAAATTGCAGTTTTACGGTATTGTGCTTTAACAGCTAGATTATTTTAATTTAAAGACACTATGCTACAATAAAGTTATATTTTTTCTACCATGTCCTTAGCATCCTGTGTCTTTGAACTTTTTAACACCACTTAACAGGAAACATAAAAAATCTCTTCTTATATCCTCTAACTTTGAGATTGTCTCTTTGGCTCGGTTACTGTAAAGTGACGGGGAAAAACGGTTAACTTTAATTAAAATTGCTCTATGCTTAGGCGGGATAAAGAATGTCGGCGTGGGATAAAGTAGTGTCTCCTTTTAAGTAATAGGGAGGCCATAA